GCACTGCAGCTAAAGTTGGGGGAGGCTATATGGGACTATGTGTCACTGGAGTGTAGATTGGGTTCGTACAATCGATGTATTTGAAACAATACCCTAATTTCATCTTAAGTGTTCATGCGTAAAATTTTATTATGTCTTACTATGTAATTTCAGCCATTTACAAACAAATCCTTTACATTTGATTCGCCTGCATGGAGCTTTGATTATGACCTAAACCGGTCAACATTTTCAACTGCAAACGTGACAACCCTATCACCAGTCGCAAGGGAAGCACTGCCAGAGACGACAACAATACATGAGGTGATGTCAACTGGCACCGTTAAAACATCAACCAGTGTAATTCCATAACAAAGTCTAATAATGTCCATGTCTTTGAAAATAGATGTAATTCCTTTGAGTGTGTGTTTCTCTTTCCCCCTCTCCTTCCCTCTGTATGTGTGTTTGTGTATTTTTCTTCCGCAAGTAATGAGGACATTTTCTTAATTCCTTTTTCTGCCTTCTAATACAGGTTTATTATATGAATACGTAATGCATGGCAGATTGGATATAACGTGTATGCGAATAAGGGCTTACTTTGCATTAAAAAAACCTTGAGGCCTTAACAGAAAATGATAGTAATTTTAAACCTGTGACATGCGTAACTAAGTTGAAACAGAACTTTAACATTTATGGATTATGTAAATGTCTATAACAACACAACCTTTATAAATAAAATCAACAAAACAAAAGCTGTAAAACCAATGGAATGAAATAGAATGGAGATATAGTGTTTCTAACAAAAACTGTCTCAGGTTCTGTTACATGTGAACAATTTGACCCAGTGGTGGAAGAATCTAACGACTGAAAATCAAGGAACATCACCGACTAACACAGGTGGGAGACAATCCATGCCTAATTCTATAGTTAAGGTGGTTTTAAACTGATTCTGCTTGTTTGCATCTATCCGTTCTAAATCTTTTGTCTTTAAGTTGTATCATGGTTATCTGTCTATTGCTATATTCAATGTATACAAAACTAAATTTGGCCACCGGTCAACCGCCCCCCCCCCGCCCAAAAAAGTACGATATTAATAAAGTATCTCAAAGCTCCAGGTGTGATGCAGTCTGATTTATTATTTTAGTGCATCACTTATAAACAGCGTTTGTTTAGATGTGTTTACGGTTCTGCTAACAATTCTTCCAACGTCCAAATATCTTTTTACACTAGAAATCTCTAGGAGAGGTGCATTTTAATGCTGTGTTTTATATCTAAAACGCTCATGACAAAAATATAACGTTTAAACACCACATCAAGCTCCAAACCACAACTATAAACAAAAACAAAGCACTGAGGTCAGCCTTAACCCCTGACCTTACCAACAATCCTTTGCGGCACACTCAAAGGTATTTAAATTAGTGCCAGGCCATGTGAAGGTCGCAATTGCAAAGACGTAAACAAAACACTCACCGTATTGTTTCATTGTTTATGCTAAACTTAATTATTTTGTTATTTTGATTCAATTTTTCATTGTGCTTGTATATTATCTTTTTATTACGTCTTCATTGTTGTTATATTTCATTCAACAAGCTGTAGAGATTATAACGTCATGAAGGGGAGGACTTTAAATAAGCCATTGCGGCTTTTTGTCCTGCCCTTGCACATTTATTTCTTTTGTATTATTTTGTATAATGTTTCATTATGAATGTATGTGCTAAATAAAAATAAATAAATAAACACGTCAGACCATGCTTTATATATATATATATATGTTCAGCCATAGCCTTTACCAAGCTTTGGGAGGCGGCTGAAAAGAGTAATATATTGCCAAATAGAGAGATAACATGCCGGGGGTGTTGGTCCGATAGAGAGTACATTTTGCCGCACCCAAATATCGGACCAAGTCCCTCGGCATATTATATCTCTATTTGGTCAATTTTTACACTTCCCAGTCCCCTCCCGAAGCCTCGTAGAGGCTAGTTCGGACGTGCATCACATTGCTTTACACTTTGCATATGCAGTGGTAAATGTGAACATATTGTTTTTTTGGCGACGTCTCAGGGAGGAGCCTAAAGGTACAGTATTGTGTGCAGTTTGCAAGAATTCTAGGAATGGTACAGGCATTTTGTCCACAGGCATGGAATGTCTCTGACCCACAGTTATGCCCATATTCCTGGAAACACTTCGGAAGACCTCTCTTCCCAGGGTGGCCCTTCTTTCTGTGACCCCGGGGTTCGCTCACTATACACACAGGGGAGGAGTTCACTGTATCTGTCTAGACTTAACAAGTCTTCCTCAAAATCATGAAATGATGGCAGTGCCATGCAAACAATGACCCTAACACTAACCACCGTCGCCATGGCAATGTACTGTTTCATTGCCAGTCTTCTTGTTAATTGTTGCAGGTAACAAAATCAGCTGTCAAGTTGGCTACAAACTCATCGAACGGACGTGCGTACGGCTCAGTCTGCAAATGAAGTCATTTTATTGGGCAAGAAAAGCCTGTACTACTGATGGAGCGGAGCTAGCTATGCCTAAAACACGGGAACTGGACGTCGCTCTGAGAGATCTGGTCCACAGGGAGGGCCAGGGCCGCGCATATTGGATCGGCATGAGGGACAGAGAACCATTCTTTCTTCATAAGAGAGTCTGGAAATGGATGGATGGATCTCGTTTAGGCGAATACGAGGTAGGTACAGACCACGTGTGTGCTGTATGTAAAAAACCATGTCATCAACACATGAGACTGAATTCCATTTTTTTATTTGTTCTCTATATCCTCCAAGGTACCCATTGAAATCACATGTAGCGTTAATAGATGCATTTCATGGTTAACGAACCTTAACTTTTTTTTGATATAGAAAATGGGGAAGTAAAAATTAATTCATTTAAGAATTAAATAATCGGAATAATCTAAAACTGATTAATTTCATTTGTAAAAAACTTTACTTGTAGTGCTATAATTGTACTTTTTCGTAATGTTTACCACATGTAATCATCTTTTTCTGGTATTTCAACATCAACATTTATTTGGTTAATAATATATTCCCTATCAGAAAATAATGTAGTCTGGTTATAAAATGTGGAAAATATCTAAGGGCACGACAATGCTTATTACGCCAAATGCATATTACGCCAAAAAGCAGTTACTCAAGCAACTGGATATGATTTTGAAAACGTC